AACCCAACCCCCAGCCGAGCATTTATCCCTGGGGCTCTTTCGCTTCCTGTTTCTCCTGCCCCCGAATAAAGCTCTTCCTGCTGGGGAGGGAGGCTTCCCGCGCTCGGTCCTGACCCCGCGAGCCTGGAGACACCATGGGAAGGGAGAGGAAGGGCCCCTTATGCGTCTCTTTCCTTACAGGCTCTGGAGCCGCGCCAGCAGGGATCCGGGCCTCTCCTCTCCAGGTGCCAGCCATATCAGGTGAGGCCTTCACACCCAAACTCACCTTCCTGGGCACCTCACCAGCCTCACCGACCACAGCCCTGCACAGCCTATCTGCCACCAGAACACTCGCATTGGGGGAGAGCAAGGTTGGGCCAGCCCTCCCACCAGCCCACCTGCTCACACACCTTGGGCGGAGCCTCGCTGGGGAGATGTTACACTCATCGCACTGTCTCTGGAGCCCCACCCCGTTAGGGCGCATTTAGAGCCAATCTGAAGCGAGCAGGGTTCCGCAGGAACAGGCCCCAGTCCCCACCTGTTCTCATCTGCTCTCCCCGTCCTTCCCGCAGCCCCGCACTTTGTGGACCGGCACCGGGAGGCCCTCATTCAGCGGGTCACAGACGTGAACGGCGTGCTGGATGCTCTGTACGGGAGCATCCTGAGGGAGGAGCAGTACCAGGCAGTGCGAGCAGAGGCCACCAATCCAGACAAGATGCGGAAGCTCTTCAGCTATGCTCCAGCCTGGAACCTGGCCTGCAAAGATCGGCTCCTTCAGGCCTTGAGGGACACCCAACCCTACTTGGTGGACGACCTGGAAAGGAGCTGAGGCAGCAGCTGGAACTACCAGGGGTTGGACGTGCAGAATGAGTGATTTTTTAAATAAAAAGTCCGCTTGTACTTTTGTGGGTTTTCCTGCTTCCAGCCTGGCCGGCCGCACATGCAGAGCTCAGCTACACAGCTCAATGCTGCGGAGGCTCAGGGGCAGCTCGCTGCCTTCCAGGGGTAGGGCAGCAGGCTCCCCAAACTGTCACCCTTCCTGCCTGTCACCATGCGAATATTCCTCATTCAACAGTTAGTGCTCCTCCAGGGCTATGCGAGAGGGTCCGCCCTCGAGACTCTAGCTAGCCCTGTAGTGTACGTTAGAGAGGCGTGTACAAAGGGTCTGGACGGTGGGAGCCAGGTGTGTCAGAAGGCATTGAACTTAGGGCACTCTGCTAGCGGGCAGAGCTTCTCTTTTGCCTGTTCCATGGCAAAGAGTAATTGTACAATTAGAGCAATTTCCAGGGGGAGACAGTAGCATCTAAACATGGAAGACCACAGCTACCAAACAAAATTCTAGCGTTCCTTCTGGCACTGACAGCAGCAGGCTAAATTACTCCCTTTGCTCCCTGCCACCCCCTGGAGGTTATAGGTTACAGTATGCCCAGAAAACATGCCAATCACAAGAGCAAAACTTCATGAATTCTAGTAGATATTCTTCTTGTGATGGAATTAAAGGAACTGAGTACATACAGGTGACCCTTGAACATGGGGGTTAGGGGTGCTGGCTTCCTATGAAGTCTTAAATCCACATAAAACTAGTCAGCCCTCACAAAATAAGCAAAATAGATTCATAGTCTGACAGCTGTCAGAAGGGAGGGGAACTGCGGGGCTGAGTGAAAAAGTGAAGAGATTAAGCCCCCAAAAAACAAATACAAAAAAGCACATCAGCCCTGGCCAGTTTGGCTCCAGATTGAGGGTCAGCCCTCGGACCAAAGGGCCTCAGGTTCAAATCCGGTCAAGAGCAGGTATCTTGGTTGCAGGTTCGCTCCCTGCCCCTGGTTGGGGCACGTACAGGAGGCAACCAGTAGATGTGTCTCTCACATCGATGCTTCTCTCTCTCTCTCTGTCTCTCCCCCTCCTCCCTCCCTCCCTTTCACTCTCTCTTAAAAAAAAAAATCAGTGGAAAAAACATCCTGGGATGAGGATTAAAACAACAAAACAAAAACATCTGACACAAAATAGTATTGTGATAGCTACAGGGGAAAGGGGGGAGGGGGTAGAAGAGGGTCCAGGGGGATGAATGGTGATGGAAAGAGATTTGACTTGGGCTGGTAAACACACAATACAATATACAGATGATACATCACCAAACTACACTTAAGCCTATATAATTTTATTACCCAACTAGTGACTGGTGCACAGATTCATGCACATGGAAAGGAAATTAATTAGAAGGTGGGCAGCAGGGCAGAACTGGGCGAGACTGGCTGGACACACCCTGGAGCCAACCTCCTACAGTCCCTCCCCGGCGTCAGCTGAGTGAGTGGGGGTCCCTCCAGCAGGTGGGGGTCCCTCGACCTGGCCTGCAGGGATCAGGCCAAAACCAGCTCTCTGACATCCCCCAAGGGGTCCTGGAGTGCGAGAGGGCACTCTACAAAGTTGCTGTCATAGTACAGGGTATACAGGGTGTGGAATGCAAACACAAGTGTGCAGTAAACCAGATTCGGGGCCAACAATGCCTTAGCAACAAACCCACAGCTGAAGGTGGAATCATGTGGCCCCTTGAGGAATCGGATTCCCTCCTCTCTCATTTTTAGGGTGCATCACCTGAGAACCCCTGCTGCCAAGTCAGTGCAGCTCAGCAGCTCCTGCATTGAGCGTCTGCCCCCTGGTGGTCAGTGTGCATCATAGCAACAGGTCAGATGGGCAGAGGGACAATTAGCATATTAGCCTTTCACATAGATAGATGTCACCCAATAAATGCAATAAACAGGTAAAAAAAAAAAAAGTCAGCCTTCCACATACAGATATGGAGTATCTTCCAAACTGTGGAGTCCACCCTTGTACAACTTGCATCTGAACTGTGCAGGTCATCTGAAAAAACTCCACTTACTAACTGGACCTGCACAGTTCAAACTCATGTTGTTCAAGGGCCAGCTGTCTTTCTCCAGAAAAAGCACTTAACGAGCCTTCCCAGAGCCTGTTAGGAAACCAGGATCCTAGGACAACAATCTGCATACACTTTGCACCAAAATCCTTTCTAGTTGTAGAGCAGTGAAGTGCTGGGGTAACCAGGGTGCGAAACAGGAGGCCCTAAGGAGGAGCCTTGGTAGTTAATCAAACAGGGATCCAGGTATGAGGGTATAAGGTGATTGGTTCTGTGCCACTCAAAATGATATGCTAACCCACAATGAACAAAGCTACGAGATTTCATTTCAATACCCTCACCTAGATGACGCAAATGCAGTGTTAATTCCCCACACTCCTTCTGGGGTGTGTGTAGGATCTCACTCTGAGTCTGTGCAACATTTCCCTATTCTGACCTGGGTCACCAGAGCAATAGGAGAAAACAGGCGGTTAGCTATAGGAGGAGTCTACCAAGACGGGAAAATGTGCTTCCTGTCAAGTGGGATAGCTAATGCTACTTGGGACTCCAGGAGAAAATGTAAGCTTCCCAAAAGGTAGGAATCAGCCCCCACACCTCAGAACCGCGTGCCCTAGTCCTTTCTTTGGCCAGTTACCGATAAAATGTTGATCCATCCTTAACCCTCTTCTACCAAGTCTTCTTGAGACTTATTCAATCCAAGATATGCTCAATCACATGTTCTGCAAGGACCTTACCATTTCCAAAAGTGAATCTGTCTTCCTTTTACCAACCCTGCATTAGATGTACCAGTTAATAATAGTGGATTTTGTAAACAAAGAAGACACGATAGCCCTAACCGGTTTGGCTCAGTGGATAGAGCATTGGCCTGCGGACTCAAGGGTCCCGGGTTCGATTCCGGTCAAGGGCATGTACCTTGGTTGCAGGCACATCCCCAGTGGGGAGTGTGCAGGAGGCAGCTGATCAATGTTTCTCTCTCATCGATGTTTCTAACTCTATCCCACTCCCTTCCTCTCTGTAACAAATCAATAAAATATATTTTTTTAAAAAAAAAAAAAGAAGCACATACAACATCCTAGAAGGCCCTGGAGCCCACCATGAAGTTGTCTTGCCACCCCCAACTCCCAAGGTACAAATGAGCATTACTCCCACCCCTGATCCTGTCATTTCTCTCTGATAATTAACTCACTACCCAATGGGACCTAGAACATTCCATTCTTCTGCCTCACCCTACCTAAATACCTTTATACAAACTGGTTTTGTCAACCTGGTTTTAGAAGCTCATAATACACCACACCTTCCTGATCCCACTAAACACCGAGCATTGTCTTCTTTCTGAAGCGATTTGGCCTTGCAGCCGATGTTAATGGTTGACCTGGATCAACCCATGATTTTGTGCATTTGGGATTCTCAAAATAAATCCACTTTTCATCGCCAGTCACAAGTCGATGCAAAAAAGACTTACTTTTGTGCTGTTAAAGCAACATTTTATTGATGACTTTTCAGTTTTCCATTTGTCTTTTGTTCAGTTGATGTGGCACCATTTTCCTCCCTTTAAAAATCTTACCCATTGCTTGTAAATGGTCAGAAATTGTTTGCTGAACAACATTTAATCTTTCTGCAAGTTGTTTTTGCGTTTGACACGCATATTCATCCAATAATGCTTGTAATTTTTGGTCTTCAAACTTTTTTGGTTGACTTGGATGTCTTTGTCTTTCACATCGAAATCATCACTTTTAAAGAGTTTAAACTATCGTTCACAAGTATCTTGAGATGGAGTATGTTCACCATAAGCTTCCCAAAGTATTCAGCAGCACTTTTCTTCAAAATAATGAATTAAAACTTCCCGAAAATGTTTTTTTGGCACAAAATTTGACACTTTTAAGTGTAAAAATATCTATGATGTTAACACCTTCAGCAATTCTGACATACAAAGTTTTGAAGCTTGTTGTCACAAAATAGCATACATATCAAATCGCATATATATCAACATATGTGGAACTCGCATCTATTGAAAAAAATCCACATCATTAACCAGTACACCTAGTATCTTGACATGTGGCAACAGCAGCAGTCTAACCAGAAATCTTACCATGTTCCATAAAGCCTAGATATTAGTCAGTCTTGCAATTGCCTTGCTATTCAACTTCACTGGTCCCATCTGGTTTATGCCTAATGTCTTACCTGCTTTCAAGGACCTGGATGATCAAAACTGATCATGAAAATGGACTTCAAGTCTAATATTAGGATCCCTAAACTCTCATTCCAGCCCAGCCTGTAAGAACCTACTCAACCTCTCCTATTTTCCTCTCTACCTACCCCATGGTCTCAGCATCCCTATTTGTTCACACCCTGTGCCCTAGCACATGCTGGTCCCTTACTTCTGAACACCTTAACCTACCTGTCCTAGTGTGCACATTGAATGCCTTCCTCTGGGCCCCAGGACACTTCCTACAGTCTCTGTGTAATGCAAACCATATTGTCATGGTATATTTTCACCCAGGATTATGAGACTGACCCCATAAAAAGATAACTTTCTAGCCTAACCAGGTGGCTCAGTTGGTTGGAATTTGGTTGGAGTGTCATCCCATACACCAAAAAGGTGGTGGGTTCAATTCCCGGTCAGGGCACATACCTAAGTTGCAGGTTGGATCCCTGGTTGGGGCGCAGAGAGTACCGGCAGCAGCTGATGAATGTTTCTCATATCAATGGTTCTCTCCCTCCCCCCACCCCTTCCATGCTTTTTTTTTAAAATATATTTTATTGATTTTTTACAGAGAGGAAGGGAGAGGGATAGAGAGCCAGAAACATCGATGAGAGAGAAACATTGATCAGCTGCCTCCTGCACACTCCCCACTGGGGATGTGCCCCCAACCAAGGCACATGCCCCTGACCGGAATCGAACCCGGGACCCCTGAGTCCGCAGGCCGACGCTCCATCCACTAAGCCAAACTGGTCAGGGCTCATGCTTTTTAAAAAAATAAAATAAACATATCGTGTGAAGGCTTAAAAAAGAAAATCTTCCCAACCT